GCAGCGGTAGTGAGTTTGGCCCAGAATCAGGCATTGTTTCGTTCTGTTGTGCATGGGGTCGCTATGAGTCAGTTCCGGCTCGATGGCACCTAACAACAACAACAACACACCATTGTCAAGAGCCTATTGGCTTCAAAGGATAACCCTTGGACTTTGAATAACAAATTCAACAGGAGAAAGATAAGGCTTTCTTCTCTTGCAAAAATTCAGAGCCTTGGAAACCCTACACAGGGTCACTATAAGTCCGACCCAACTTTAGGCACTTAAATAAAACAACAGACCATTCCAATCTCTATAATTTAATTTTTTGTTAAATTGTTTTTTAATATATTAACTAAAAATAAGTGCCTAACGTTAGGTTGGAGTCTTGATGTGGCACTGCAGGTTAATGTGCTAGACTGCAATGTTACTTTGAATGAGAAGGTCAGTGATTCAAGCTCACCAGCTCCTCCTTGAAAACCCTATACATGGTTGCTATTAGTTGAAACCAACTAAATGGCACTAAACAACAACAACTGTTAGGTTGATAATAATTTAGATTTCTCAAAAAGGGAAGCATATTCCCTTTAGTGTACTAATTGTTTTCTTTTTTTCCCTAAGGAAAGTGAATTTAATACTAGTTATAGAGAAAACATCATTGTGAACTCTATATAAAACATGGAGTTAATTTTTTGTTTTTGATGCTCTTACATTGACTGGATCATTTTTCTTGGTGAAACTTTATATTTCTAATGGAATCTTTGAAACTATATGTAAAAATGAAACAAGAAACTATGTATTGTATTCTGGACTTTCTAAGCTGAAATAAATAATTAGATATATGTAGAGATGGTAATACCATATGCAGATCTACACATTTATGAAATGAGAGAAAATTCAATATTAAATCAGTAAAATAAGTGAGTTTTTTTTATATTTAGTGAACGTACAAATAGACATATAAAAATTATTTGATCTATTTCATCCTAAAAAAATGTGCATGCCCATCCTCTTGTGTGTTAAACCTTTATAACTATCCATTGCAGGTAATAATGAATGTTTCGGACCCAAGTACTTGGGTTAATTTCCTAGAAAACTGGAATAATTATAAAACATAAATAGGCCACAGTGATATTAAAAAGCAGGTAAAGTGATTACTTTTAGATTTATTTGCTTGTTTGTTTTCTTTATTAGTTAGCTATTTAAAATTTGTAATCTATGAAAGTTATAGACTTTATTCCTTATCATTATTTTTTTAAGAAAATCCAATCACCTTCTATTTTTCTAAGAAAATTTAAATGTATTATTTCCTTAATACTATTAGCAAACATAGATTATATCCTTAAAATCTACTTTAATGAATTTCCTTTACTCGTTTTATACTGGAAAGTTAAAGTTAATATTTGATACAGAGAAAAGTTTCATATGTGGTTCTAGGCTTTGGTAATACGTAAGAGGATAACAAATAGAAATAGCAAAATAACCTTGTGCTTTGAAAGAATCTCTAGAGTAATTAATTCCCTTAATCTAAGTCAGTAAATGTTTGACTATGTATGACAGTAAAAAAAAATATTCCTAGTTCAACAAATATTCTTGTTGTCCTCCTATGCCTACACTGATAGCAAATGGGAAGATCTTACTTCACAATGATGTTTCTGATTTTCTAGTATATGAGTTACAGATGCCTGGGTTAATAAAAAAGGTTACTGTCCTAAAAACCATATGATGATAAGTGTGACAGCTATCTTTATACCTAGATTGACAAATATATGGGATTTAACTTTATTTGCTTCCAGAGGAGGAGCTTGTTAATATAAATATAAGATATATACTTATCCATATGAATAATTTCTGCATTGCATATGCCAAGATTATAATTTTGGGAAAACAGTATATCCTATATTTAGAGGAAATATATTGAGCATGTAGCCTAATGTAGAGACACCTTAGGTCTTTTTATCTGGAGGTTATTGGTTTGTTTCCTATAAATCTTAAAAGAAAA